GCGCGCTTTTACTTATGCCAGCCGTACGGTTGTCAGGAAGAAAATTTTCATTATGTCTTAGAAGATGCCACGTTATCGACTTCATAAAGTGAATTGTTGAATTAAATGATTTTTCTTTTGAGATCATTGAGTTCCTGTTTCATTTTGAAGGGCTAATTGACCGAATGAGTAGTTCCTGCGTTGAACCTCTCCTTCTTTCGCGTTCCAGTTGGGATCTGACATCAGATTCTAGCAAAGCATTAGGTCAGCTCATTCAAAAATGTGGGGACGTCCAGAGAAATGGCGGGACATTAAGAGAGCTACACCCACCAGCTTGATTTTGTTCTAAAGCTGGCACATCTAGCTACGGAATACCCTGGTTCATTAAATACAGTCGCGGAAGAAGTTTTGAAAACACAAAAGAGCTCACAGTGATCAAAGGCAAGGCGGAATTTTCGAATGAGGCGTAATTCTTCAGGCTCTGGCTCAAGTTACGCGTCGTACAGAGTTCTTGGAAAGCTGTGTTAGAGATTTCGTGTGAGAGCCCAACGAAGAAAGAACGAGTTGTGGTGTTGGGGCGCTCATATTGTCCACCTTGCCCAAGAAGAGCGGGTGGATGAAATGAGGTTTCAAATGGCGCATCACAGATGTTGAACCTTTGCGATGTTTGCCCACGAGACTTGCAGTCTAGCTGCACCTGTTACGCAAATTGTGCCCAAAAATTGGGGATGGTCCACAGAACATGTTTTTGGATATCCTCATTTACTTACAGATGCACAAGTTCAGAATGGAATTTGTGCCTGTAGAAATAAACTTCTTTCGATTCAATAACGTATTTTATTTAGAACTATCAAACTTCTTAAATGAAATTTGAGTGGGATTGTACGCTGAGTCAAAGTCAGAAGCGTCGCGCCTTTGAATTCAATGCCGGTGAGGAACCGCCTGAAATATATCCTGAGAAGTCACGTGGGGGCCCGCGGGTGATTCCTATAGCTATAGAATCGTCCAGGATCGACCTTCTTTTAATCTTGGCATATTTTGATCAGATGAGTACTTGATTGTAGCCGTCCAAGATTAGGTAACTTTATTAGGCCAACGTTTCGGCTTCTTCGCCTTCGTCAGAGCCTGAAAAAGTCAAGAACAAATATGACTTGCCCTCTCAAACGCCTCCACAATACTGAAGACTATTTCCATATCTTAGTAAACCACCTAACGGTATCGATCGAGCCGAAACGT